ACATGGGTGCAAAGTTCTCTTTAAGAGACGAGCTCTGCCCACTCCTGCTCTCTCTTTCTGCTGGTTCAGGAGGAGGCATATCTCTCTCTCTCTCTCTCTCTCTCTCTCTCTCTCTCTCTCATTCTTTTTCTCTCCCCTCTCTCCCTTTTCTTTCCCACTCCCTTCCCTTCCCCCAGTAAAGCTTCCCAAGTAAGCTCTATTTGCCTAGCGTGTTTGTTCCATCATGGGATTCTCCAAGGTCCCCCTCACATCGCATATCACATATCATAACACTGATGGTTGTTTCTGTGGAGATGGGTTGCTTGGCGGTTCCAGGGAAGACTGACCCTCAAGGAAATGTATGAGCCTGATTCAGATGGTCATTCACTTGTCTCTTAGCCTGATTTTCTTTTTCCATCTTCTTGGGTCCTCTTTCCTCTGAACAAATCTAAAGTGCTAACCCAGCTCGCTAGGAAGAACTCAGAGCCAGCACCTCTGTCAGTACATGCCACGTGTCTGAGGATGTCAGAAGAGGGTGTTAGATCTCTTAGAACTGCAGTTTCCGGGGTCTGTGAGCTGCCCAATGTGTGTGCTGGCACCAGAACCCTGGTCCTCTGGAAGAGCATTAAGTTCTCTTAACGTCTGAACTGTCTCTTCAGCTCCCTACCAATCAATTTTGTATCCTGAATTTGCTGCACCTTTTCCAGGGGACAATGGTTGCTGCCCTCCTCTCATCTGGACCCCAGCATCCACATCTACAGCCTGGGATGCTCTGTGGCCATCGGATGCACAAGGACACATTTTCCAAGAGCAAGGGCCCATGGGACCTCAAGAGAGAATTTTTCCTGATGATGCAAGAAACTACCACTGTGAAAGTGTGGGTGTGGAAGTACACGCCCTTGGTCCTGGCTTTCAGGAGGATGAAGAGTTTGAGGCCAGCCTGTGTTACAATACTCAGTGAGACCCCTGCTAAATAATCAACAATCAAAATTCGAATTGACTGTAGTTTTTAGGTTAGAGTCAGCCAAGGTCTCCCAGAGCTAACAAGTTGTTTGCTGGCTGGGCCCCTCCTGGAGGCTCTAGGAAAGATAACATCCTTGGAACTCTCTAGGGCTGTGGTCAGAACCAATGTGCACATTTACAAGACTATACTCCCGTCGTCTCCCCAGCATCTCTGCATGGGCTCCACTTCTGACCCCAGCCAGACACTGAGGGCTCCAGGGTTTTCTTTTGATGCCAGACTTCTATGCCTTTTCCTTTGCATCTCGTGTGGTTCTCTGCATTCTGAGGCTGATGTGGATTTCTGGAGGCAATCCCACAGAATCCTCAACTTTAGAGCCTGTCACCTTCATCTATTTCAAAGGCCTCTGTGCCCTGCATGTTTCCTAGTTCCAGGAATTAAGGTACACATGTCCTCCGTGACCCTTCTCAGGGCGAGGCAGGGTGGAGTGCAGGGTGAACAAGTCAGCCTTGGGCTGTTTCTGTTCACTGGCTAGGACACACACACACACACACACAGATAGAGAGAGAGAGAGAGAGAGAGAGAGAGAGAGAGAGAGAGAGAGAGAGAGAGAGGTCTCTAACAGTGTAAGTAAGGCCACACCCAGTGGGAGTGTTTTGCCTTATAAGGCTTTGGGTTGCCTCAAGCCAGGAAGGAAGGACCAGCTGGGCAGGAACTGGGTGGAGATCCAAGATTCCTGGGCAGGAACAGGACTTGCCCAAACCAAAGGTAGGACTGGCTGGGCGGGGCTTTCCAGGGAGCCAACGCATGGGCTAGTGTCTGCTCTAGTTTCTTCTGGGCCATTCTGAAAATCTCCCTGGGGAAACCATCTAGAGACTCTCCAGAAGAACCCCACTTCCAGGATTGCAGTGCCTCTCATTGGCGTTCCTGGGACTGAGGGACCTCACCCTGATTCTGGCTCCCCGCTCCCTTCACTTTCCACATCTGCTAGTCTGGCCATTGTGTCCTGTTCCTGAGTCCTTGTGTTCCAGGGGTCACCAAGTCCTGAAAGGCATTCCTATGAGAGGAGAAGGAAGGGCAAAGTCTGCATGTCTGTCTGCGCTGTGCTGGCCCTTGCCCAGCTTACCCAGCCAATGCCCTCTGCCAGGGTGGTGCTTTGTCCCCAGAGCACCCCAGTGGTTTCTTAGCTACCTTGCATCTTTTGTGGTCCTTTCAAGGTTACCCCACAAAATACACCCAGGGCAACCTCTGGGCTGCTCTGAATGCTCAAAGAAGCATTTCTATGGATGGCTTCTTGATCTTCACCTGCATTGCTGCTACTTGCATGGGGGCAACATCTTTAGCCAAGCCCCATGCCAACACCAGGCTGAGTCTAGAATCCTGATATTTTTCTTTTTAGTGAAAAAAGACAGGTCCCTGTTATATTGCCCAGGTTACCTTTAAGCTCCCAGGCTCAAGTGACTCTCCTGCCTTGACCTCCCCAGCAGCTAGGACCACAGGCAGGCCATTCAGTGGGCTATAGCAACATGCCACATCTTGGGCCAGACTCAAGGCTGGACTCACAGGGCTCAGGAGGTGACTTTGTCACTAAAGTACTTGCCTTGCAAGAGTGGGAACCTGAGTTCAGTCCCCACAGCCCACATTGTAAAAAGCCGGGCGTAGTGCTGGTACATGCTTGTAATACCAGTCCAGAGGAGGCAGAGACAGGACCCTTGGGAGCCCACTGGCCAGCCAGACTTATGCCGGGGTGGTGGGGTATAGCCTAGGGACATCAAGGGTCTACGGTGGGTGGGGTACCTACTGTAGAGGTACCACTGAACACTTTGTACACACAGCTGCTCAGTGTCACCCCTAAGAATCCTGGGAGTGGTGGTTTTCCAACTGTTATGACGAGAAGCTGAGCCATGCTGACTGGGGCCAATTTACAGGCTGGAGACTCCTAAGATGGGGTGATATACAAACCAGACCAAGTCCCCAGGTGGAGGTGACTTCCTGAATGCCAGCACATCCTGGCTTATTCTCGACAGAGTGTGTGAGCCAGGATGACATCTGTCGCATGTACCTCACTGGTTACTCTTGGGCCATCTTCTTCATCTATGCTGCTCTCTGGATACCCATGGCCACATACCTGATGGCTGTGTAAGGCAAAGAACAGAGTGTGCTCTGGCTGGGGGACAGCCCAGGGATGAGCTTGTCTAGCATGTACAAGGCCCTAGCTTTCACTCCCTGGTACTGCAAACAAATTAATCCTCCCTGGGGAGACATAGGAGAGACAGTCTTCATTTTCCTCAGGATATTTATGGAGAAAATGTCTGATTTCTGGTCTCTTTAAGCCATGGGTCTATTTGAAAGCTGAAGGAGCCTGTCCTAGTTGGTTTTGATCTTCAGCTTAATACAACCAAGAGTCATCTGGGAAGAGGGTATTTCAACTGAGGGTGCCTGCCCGGATCTGGCTGGCTTATGGCCATGTCTGTGAAGAATTCTCTTGATTATTGATTGATGCAGGAGGACCCAGCCAACTGTGAGAGGTACCTGCCTAGCAGGTGGCCCTAGTTGTCTAAGAAAGCTAGGTGAACATAAGCCACAGAGAGGGGCCAGTAAACATCCTTGGTTTGAGCTCCGGGTTCCTGCCTTGGCTTCCTCTAGTGACAGACAGTTACCTGGAAGTGTAAGCCAAATAAAGCCATTCCTCCCAGGTTGTTTTTGGGGCTGGAGTTTATCACAACAGAAGGCAGACTGGAGACAATCATCTCAGTTGTCTTACAACCCAGGGCTGCTTGGCTGAGGAGCAGGCAACTTTACCAGGAATATCAAGGAAATGCACATCAGGTCACACAACCTTCTGGGGGGAGGGGCAGAAGCCATCCTCAGGGCACCACACTGATCTGAGAACACCTGTCATAAAGATAGGAGCTTGGATAAAGACAGTCAGCTGACATTATTGGGGAGCTCAGATTGTGCTATGTGACCAATGATCTTGTCTAGTCTTCCTTGAGGGTTCCTTATCAGATGTGTGAGAGCATCTGTGTGAAAGGTTACTCCCACCTGGCTGTGTAAGGAGAGGAACTTTCTGTTTATTTTCTTTTTGCAGTGCTGGGGATGGAATCTTAGCGCCCATCATGTGAGCACTCTGCCATCGAGGTCTATGCCCACCTAGCCTTTTTGTTTATATCTCTGGTTGATTGGTTTTGATGCTCACAGCTGCCAGGTTTAAAGTGTTCATATGATAACAACACCGCTTTCTTTCCTTCCTGCCTGTGCAGAGGTTACCAGATTTAGTCTTCAGTTTGCTCCCAATGTCTTCAAATACAGACAGATAACTTGGCCCCCCGCAGTGGAGTGCTGTGCAACCCAGGATTAAGAGTGAGGAGGATCTGCTTTCACCCAACCAAAAAGTTTAAAACGCACAATGTGTATCTTGAGATCCAAGAAGGAAGTCTTTGTATTTCCTGCCATTTTTGGAAGGGTGAACAGGAAGTAATGAAAAGTGTGTGTGTGTGTGTGTGTGTGTGTGTGTGTGTGTGTGTGTGTGTTTGTGCATACTGTTTTGTTTTGTTGAGACAGATCTCACTATTTAGCCCTTCCTGGCTTGAAGACTAGGGTGGCCTTGAAGTCACAGAGATCTGGGGACCTCTGCCTCCCAAGTGCTGGGATTAAAGGTGGGTGTCACCAAGCCTGGCTGGATTTCTTGATCTCTTGATTCTGCTGCTTCAGCTTCCATAGTGGTGGGATTCCAGGCCGCACCACCCACCAGGCTCCACCTATGCCCAAGTACACATGGAGAGAGCAACTGGATGAGCACCATTTAAATATTTGACTTTCATTGTGGGACTTAGCCTTAGATGGCTGAGCCATCTCTCCAACCCTACTTTAAGAGTAAAGAGGAATGCAGGGTGGCACCAGCAGAAATGACGATCTGATCTGACGATTGAGAAAAGTGAGCTGGCACCAGTCCTCTCTTTGCCCTTGCTTCTGTGGTTCTCAGCCTTGACTGAAAACCGATTACAATTAGACTGATACAGTGTAGCTGTCACAGGACTTCTTGTGTGGACACTGCCCCTAGTGTAAAAGTGTAGAAAGTTTAATTCTTATAAAAAGGAACAAAATACAAAAACTGAACAATAATTACAGACAAAACCCCTCCTGCCTGAGACCCCCTTCTTAAATCTAAGGTCCTCACTGTCCATCCTGGTGGGGTTCGCTGTCAGAGGCAGGGCTTCCCTCAACTTTTCTCAGGGTCTCACCATCCTGGGGGACAGGGAAGGCAGAGGGCTGGGCTGGGACCAAGGGCCAAGATGCTTGTGGTTTCTGCAGAGGTACTTTTCTTGGGACACAGAAAAGAGATGGAGGCAGGGGACCTCCCAAGTCCTCTCACTACTTCCAGCTGTTAAGAAGGGTGTCCTTGCAGGAGAGAGTTCAGGAGAGCAGGCTAGATGCCTGAGCCTAGGAGCTAAAGGCTGCTTACCACAGTCCCCTTAATGAGGAGTCAAGAGACTTCCCCAGGTTCCCACAGCAGGCAACAGGCAGCTTAATCTCCCAGCCTCTCCCCTAATGTCCTTGGGCTGCCTCCAGCTGAATGCTACAAACCAGATCTCTCAGAAGTCAAAGAACAAAGTCTGCAACTGGGGCTCCTAATACAGGGCACAGTGCTGGGGGAGGGCTGTGCTTTGCAACTCCAGGTGGGGAGGAGGGCTTTTGGGTTAAAAAGCTCAGACCCAGATCTATAACCACACGGAGAAGGGGCTGGGAGTCGTTAGCCTTTGCCTCTCTGGGTTCTGGTTTTCCACCTCAGCGACGGTGTCTTGTGGTGGCCAAGTGAGGCTAGACAGAACAGTCCAGGCTGCAGTAGTCCGCAGATGAGAAGAGCCGCAGCACGTTAACCAGTGGGAACATGAGCAGGGCGCCAATCAGCGAGCCCAGCTGCACCGCTGCCCCACACCACAAGAGGGCACTGCGGCTCCGGTCACGCAAGATCACACCCAGCATCACCTTGACATAGCTGAGACAGGCTGCAAACAGCACCCAGGAAAGCACCTGCCGGGACAAGGCCACCAGGGGAGATGCAGAAGGAAGAGAACTCAAGGGCGTGCCCTAGGGCAGAGTAAACCCCTGACTACAAGGAGGTCCTACGGAGGTGACCCTGAAGGGCTACGGGGCCACAGGAGCTATTCCTCCAGAGTAAAAGGAAGCCCAGGTGTCTCTCTCTCCCCCAAATGATCAAGTCAGGGCATATATGGGAGAGGTAGCATTCATGACCACCTCACCTCCCTGAGTCCCCGCTTTTATGAGAACCACTAAGAAGGCTTAGGCTAACAGAAAGGGCTGTCCCTGGGGTCGCCCCAGTCTTGAGAAGTGAGAGTGGGAGGGCACACTTACGATGAGGACTTCTCCACCCCAGTGACCCTGCAGGATGGGGCAGGGGCTCATGGCAGCCATGGCCATATTGTAGGCCCCAAAGCTGGTTCCCAACACTGTGAGCAACCCCAGGAACAACAGCGACCTGTGGAGGAGTGGAGAAGGGCATTAGAGGAGTTGAGAAGCCTGATGTCTATCCCCTTCACCCAGGCCTCAAGGAGTAGCCTTCAGGGCTGGGTTACAACTTCACAGGAAACAATTACTTAGGTTAAGGGGGACCCCGAGAGTCAAGGTACCTAATATGTTCATACCAGATCACAGTTCAGCCACCCAAACTTGAGACTGGTCCCTGACTCATCTTCGACCTAGCCTTGCCTGCACAATGGGAGTGTGGTAGGCAGAGGTGCCCTGGAGGAGTGGATGGAGCACAGGTGCTTGGCGGCCTCCCAACTGTGGGCATTGTGTTGGCTATCATTTCTTCATGATACCAGCTCCTTGCCAGGGAGCCACCAGAAGGGGCTTTGATCTATGCAGGGCCTTCAGGACGTGATATGCTTTCTCCAGGACCTTCCCTTCTCTCAGGGAGGCCTGCCATCTGCCTGGGGGGTGAGGGCACAGGTCAGTCATGAGCCCTGGAGGTGACTTCCCAGAATCCATCAGAATCTGGCTGGCAGCTGAGGACACTGCTTTGCTTGGATAAGGCTCAGAAAAATGGCAACACCGTCCCCTGGCCCATGAATGAGCGATTGACCAGATGAAGAAACTGCCATCTGCAGCTTTTACTTCCTGTACTGGCTGGTTTTGTGTATCAACTTGACACAAACGAGAGTCATCAGAGGAAGGGGCCTCAGCTGAGGAAATGCCTCCATGATGTCCAGCTGTAAGGCATTTTCTCAATTAGTGATCAATGGGGGAGGGCCCAGCCCACTGTGGGTGGTACCATCCCTGGGCTACTGGTCTTGGGTTCTATAAGAAAGCAGGCTGAGCAAGCCAGGGGAAGCCAGCCAGTAAGCAGCAACTCTCTGCATCAGCTCCTGCCTCTGGGATCCTGCCCTGTTTGAGTTCTTATTCTGACTTCCTCCAATGATTAACTATGATCTGGAAGTGTAAGCCAAATAAACCTTTTCCTCCCCAACTTGCTTTTTGGTCATGGTGTTTCATCACAGCAATAAAATCCTAACCGAGACATTTATCCTATGACTGTAACCTGAGACCGCGCCCCTGAAACATGAGATCTGGGCAATGCAGTAAGTAGGTGACTCCATCAGTGTGAGCACAACCCACCCGATCCCAGCTTTTCTTTCTTTCTTTCTTTCTTTCTTTCTTTCTTTCTTTCTTTCTTTCTTTTCTTTTCTTTTTTTTTTTTTTTTCTCATTGCCATCACCTCAGTCAGGTTTCCAGGATGAAGCTCATATTTTTAGGCCAGGGCCCAGCCCATTCTGGTAGCCTGCATTACATCTTTGCCTGGCTATCCCAGAAGTGCAACTTGGTGGAGCTGGCTGGGTCAGAGGCAGGAGGGCAAGGCTGAACAAGGCCAGCTTCATCCCTCTCTCTAGGTCTCAGTGTTTTATGTGTCCACCTCAGTAGTCAACCGTCACTCCTCTTGGACTGGTGGCTCTGCTGTTGAGACATTGGAAGTGCCAGGCACTGACAGAGAGCAACCTATATCACAACCTATAGCCATCATAGGAGGAAGTACTGTCACTCCAGTTTTTCAGATAGGTACCCTGGAGGCACAGAGGTCAAGCTATCCCATGCCTCTGGGAGACCACACACCAACCACCTCACACATCACTCAGTAGGTGGGGCTTGGCACTTGGGGTTCTGAAACGGAGTGATCTCCACTCTCAGAGTTCCCTGGGTCAGGTAGAGTACCTGTTAGGCAGGAAGATGGGGAGGAAACAGGCAAGAGGGCTGGCCACGGAGCTGAGGGTTGCAGACAGGTGGTAGGCAACAGGCCCATAAGGCAGACAGGAGTAGGTTTGCACCGAAGGCAGCACACCGTTGGTGAGTGCGTTGACAAAGGCCACCACGGAGTAGATGAAGGTCAGCTGGGCTGGGCGGAGTGAGGCTACACTGACTTCCACTGACCCCTTGCCTGGGCTGGTTACAGGGGCACCCAGTGAGCTGGCGTCCTCTGCGTCTCGTGGCCTGATGGAGTGCAGGGTGACCTGGGAGTGGAGAAGGTCCTCTATGGAGCCTTGCCGTCCCCAGGGCTGCCGCTGCAGGATGAAAAAGGCGACCAGACAGCAGCCCATCAGGAAGGATAGCAGGAGGAAGAAGAGAAGTGGTGAGAAGCGTGGGGCCAGGTAGCGACTCTCCAGGTGCCAGGTGAGGGGCGACTGGGAAGGACTGTGGGCTGTCTGCGGAGACACAAAGCTGCAGTTAGCTATGTCACTGTGGGAGGCTGAGATGCCAGACACACTTATTACATCAGATTCCCAGATAAAAATTTGAGTTTGGGGGAGTCTTGACCTTAGATTCTCATTTCCTTGGTCTCCATGATTTTATTTGGAGGCTCAAGATAACCCCTGATCTAACTAAAAGACCAGAATATGTCACCCTAAGAGAGACTTCCTTAGTACTGGTTACTCTAAACTGGTTGAGTTGGGACAGACAAGGGTCATAGCTCCCCAAGGTCTGCTGGAGAGGGGTGTGGACATTTTCAGGACTGAGATATACAACATTTATCACTTGTGAGATTCCATCTGAGTTTATGACAGGCCACCTTTGCTCATCAGTTATCTCTTCTTCCTCCCAGAGTACATCTCCATACCCTGATGAGCCCCACGCCCCTGTCCCTTTCTCCTGTTTGGGAAGGCTTAAACTCCTATTACCTGGCTGGTCTTTGAATCTCAAACTTACATGGCCCTCCAACACACACACCCACCTAAAATGGTCTCCCTGCTGTCCAGCTGCTACCTCACACACTTTAGTTTGTAGCCCTGAGCTGATAAGATGGCTCAGCAGGCGAAGGCACTGGCCATGCAAGACTGAAAACCGTGTTCCATCCCTAGAGCCCTTGTAAAGGTGGGAAGAGGGAACTGACTCTATGAAGCTGTCCTCTGACTTCCACCCTAGTACGGTGGCATGTGATCCTATGCACATGTGTCAGAATATACATAAATAAATAAAATAATGAGTAGTCCTGTTGAAGAAACAATGAAAATAAAGGAAGCAAAATTTCCCCTCCCTACACTGTGGACCAAGCACAGTGCAACATGGCTCTGAGTCCCACTAGGTACCTGGGTGATGTGGCTCTCCACTGTGGTCACAGGGCTCAAGGTGGTGCCTGGCGTCTCTGTGGCATTGATACAGGTGGTGATACCTGAGCCTTGGGCAAGAGCCACCAGTGCGGGCACGAGGCCACTGAGCCCCTCCCCTATAAAGAAGGTGGTAAGATAGTACGTAGGCAGCTGGCTCATAAACGGCAAGAAGGTGACAGAGGAGGTGCAGTCCACCAGGGCCAGGAAGAAGGTGAGGACGATGAAGGCCACACTATGGTGTCCGCCCTGTATCCAGGAAGTCGTGTTCCACAATAAGGCCAAGAGGACGCAGGCAGCCGTGCCTATGCACAGGATAAGGAAGATCACCGGTACCTCAGACAGGCAGCCAGGTTGGAAGCGATGCAACAGGGTCACTAGAAGGGGGCCTATGTTGGCCAGCTGGATGACCACAGTGAGGTAGGAGGGCAGGTACCAGCCCTCGGGCAACTCAGTCACCAGCAGGGGCAGCTCCACCCAGAGCCCGTTGATAGCCACCCAGGAGCCCATGCCAAAGATGCAGACCAGCAGGTGTGTCAGGAGGGCCATTGTGGGCAGCCTGAGCCAGATGCTGTCCTATCCTCCAGGTCAGGCTGCAAAAGGGCTGGTGGAGAAGGACACCTGGTGAGACAGTTCAAGTTCATCATCAATAAGCGGGCTTTCTATCAGCAGAAAACATAGATGCGTTTGTTCACAGGTAACCTTCAACCGGGCCACGTTTTCCTCAGCAGGACGCAGAAAGTTTGATATATTTAACTTCACACACGTTAAAAACACACAAATGTGCCAGGCGTTGGTGGCACACGCCTTTAATCCCAGCAGTCGGGAGGCAGACGAAGGCGGATCTCTGTGAGTTCAAGGCCAGCCTGGTCTACAGAGTGAGTGCCAGGATAGGCTCAAAAGCTACACAGAGAAACCCTGTTTTGAAAAAACAAAACAAACCAAAACAAAAAACCAAAACAACACCACCAAACCCAAACAAACGAACAAACAAACAAAAACCCCCACACAAATGCAATAAACACAAACAGGCAAACAAAATGCTCCTGCAAAAAAAAAAAAAATTACCAACAGCAAGGTCAAAAGACAAATGGCAACCTGGAGGAGAGATATGGGCAAAACAGACAAAAGGCTTGTTTCTTTAACACATAAAAGAGTTTTTATGAACCAAGAATGAAAATTCAAGAGAGGAATCTGCCAAGGATATAAACAGTTTAGAGGGAAAACATACAGACTGGGCTTGACCCGTGGATGGGAAAACAACTCCGGGATGCCATTTCCATAGGTTAATTTCACGTGAGTTGAAAAGTTAGCAGATGTGACATTTTAGACAATCATAGTCAAGGAAGTTTACTCAGCCCACACTGGTGTCCTTGATAAGCAGGACAGAGTCCCCAGCCTAAGGCTACCCAGCCAGCAAGTGGCATGGCCTTTGTGAGAGCTGAATCAGCCTAGCCAGCTCCTTGAATAGATGAAGAGGGGGAACCCCTTTCCCTTCACCATATGCCCTTGAACTGGTCCCATGCCAGCACTTACCCAGCTGGGTTGTCACAAGCAGACTCCAAGCCTTATTTTTCCTTTTTATTTATTTAGGATTTTTTGACTTTGAGAAAAAAAAAATCTGACTGTTTAACCCAGGCTAGCTTAGAACTCTAGATCTAGATCTTCCTGCTTTTGCCTCAGGGGTATCTGTCACTACACTCATGAATCCCTCTAGCAGTTTATATAGAATTGTTCTAGAGCTTTCTGGTACCCCAGCCTCACCCAGGAATCTTTGATGCTCTGACAGCCCTTTCTCCTGGTCCCTACACAGGAAATGGATCTAAGAACAAGAAATGACTTGAGAGATGGGAGAAGAGTGGGAGATGAGACCTGGGCCTTAACTATAAAAACACTGTCTTGTTCTTACCCAGGGCCCACCTGGTTGTGCCAGAGGACCTGGCAGCTTCCAAGCCGCACTTGCTCCCCAGCCCAGCCTTCAAAGCGCTGTGCTGGCCTCCAGCTTGCTTCTCCACCCAAATTCCTGCAAGATCCTGCCCCAGGAAGCCTTCCCATTGCCCTTGCTGGGCCAATTCTCCAGGGGGCGCAGGAGGACATGAAGCCCAATTCTGCTGAATCTTCCTGACGCAGCAAACGATAAAAGGAACAGAGTCAGTCGGTAATTAAAGGAGGCACTCTCCTTTTCCAGGGCTGTCACGTGAGAGTGCCTGCCTGGGGAGGTTTGTGGAGAGACAAGTGGGGCTCCATTAGGGTCTGCACCCCAGTTTCCCATTTCTGTTCAGCCTATTTCTCTAGCTCCAAAGACCCTGTAAGAAGCAAGTACCGATGGCTGACAGCCAGGGGATGTTCCAGGCAGAGGGAACAACATACACGAACGTCAGACTGTTTCTCTTGGAGCAGTGAATGTTCCGAGTATGGCAGGGTCGTGTTTAAAAGATGAACATGAGATGAGGGTGTAGCTCAGGCATAGTTCGCTTGCCCCCCGCCCCCATCCTGGATTTCAAACCTGGGACACATATATGCCAGGCAAGAGCTCTATCACTAAGCTATACCCAGCCTCTTGCCTTTACTTTTAATTTTGAAACAGGGTCTCACTGAGTTCCCAGGCTGGCTGTGATCTCACTCTGTAGCCCAGACAGGTCTTAACCTTGGGATGCCTCTGCCTCAGCCTCCCTGGAAGCTGGGACTATATATAGGTCTGCCTGTCTTCCGTGGCCCTGTGGCTCTTGTTCACTCATGTGTGTAACCTGCCTTTACGGGGTGCCTACACCCAGCTGAACAATTGTCCTTTGCTCTCAGGAATGTGAATAAATCTGTCACCAAGAAAGCCAGAAAATCAAAATACAGAGCTGTCCAGGCAGCAGTGAGTACCAGAGCCAAGAGGAGCTGGGAGTGGGGGTGGGGGTGGGAGTGTGAGAGTGAGAGGGGTCTGGGGGGAAGAGGGTCCAGGGTGGAGCTGGCCAGCCAGTACAAAGGCCCTCTCCATGCTCAAAGATCTGCCTTGGAACCAGCGTGGCTGCGGCTATAAGATTAAGGGCATCAGAGAAGCAGAGGGGAAGTCACCAGGGCCTTCAAGGACATTGTGGATATCTCCTCAGGGCCCGCAATCCCTCTAGGTGGAGGAAGACCAATCCTGACTGACTGTGGTGAGGCGAGCGATGGGGAACCACGAAGTAAGCAGGGCAGAGCCACACCATATGTCGGAACACTGACATGGCTACTTGCTGTCCACCTGAACTAAACCCCTCACCTCCTCTGCAGCCTCTCATCAGTCCTGGCTTCACACCATTTCACAGGGGGAAAAACTGAGGCCCAGAAATGAAAAAGGAGTGGCCAGAGTCACACAGTTGGTCAGGGTGTATAGGACTGTGGAACAGGCCCCAGGAAGAGTAAGAAGAGGTGGCCTGACATTTCAGGCTCTGGGGCCAGGAAATAGGGAGTGAGGAAGGGCTGAGGGGACCAGAGACACAGGCCTTAAGACAGAGCTGCTTCCTGGGTGCTAGGGTCCCCTCATGGGGTGCAGAAGCCCAGAGATCAGATCAAGTCTCTGACTGAGATGAGGTCTAGAAATAAATGGGGTGACTAGAGACATAAGAGGGTGACTTCAGGCCAGGGTCTTTTGAATCTCTGTCTCGCTCTCTCTTGTGTGTGTGTGTGTGTGTGTGTGTGTGTGTGTGTTTTGCAGGGGTGAACCAGGGTCTTGTGCATGCTAGGCGAGCACATACCACCTTCTTTGTTACTTGTACATCAAACACTGAATGTCAGAGGTCCCACACCCCCATTGTGTGGCACCTCCTCTCCCGAGTGGCCTGACCTTGCTCCTGGACTGTTACAATTTCCTGGCTTCTGTGCAAAGCCTCACATCTCAGGATCCTCAGAAACCAGCCAGTCATGGAGCCTATCTGTGCCTATCAGTCAGGATAGAGTTTTCCCACGGGAACTGGGGTATCTGTGGGGAGGTATTCTCTCCTACATGGAGGCAGCATCTGGCTTGCAAGACACTGGGCCACCCTACACCCTGGCGCCATGGTTGGATGCTCACACTGCATAGATAGGCTGGCAGTTGGTAGGCACTGAGTAGAGAGAGCTGGGGCTGGACTGCTGGCGGCCCTGGGGACTGACTGGGTAGGACCTGCCTGGCTTTGGGTAGGCAGAGCAGAGGACCAGAAAGCCAACCTAGGGAAGGGAGTGGAATATTGAACAGGGTGTGAGGAGCTATTGATGGTGGACAAGGCGTTGGGGCCCAGAGAACCAACAGTTAAAGATACAGGAGTAGACAAGAGAAGCTAAGAGGTCAAGAGGAGGCACAGGTTCAGGGGCAGCTGCTGGGTGGCCAGAAACCTGGGCCCTCTCACACCCAAGTGGGACAGGAATTTTCTCCTATGGCCTCCAACTCATACCAGCTCAGGTTCCCCTTTGCAAAGACTTAGTTGGGCAACCACACACCCAGCAAACATGTAGTGGCGGTGGCATCCTGCCCATTCCCATCTCAGAGAGAGCTGTCTGTCATCCAGGCCTGTGCACCCTGGCCGTATGACCTCGGGTCACTTGCTCACTTTCTTTGAGCTTCCTGGGATTCCACCTGTGAAAGGACCTGGGTATTCCATGGCTTGGTAGCCCAGGTCTCAAGGAGGGAGGAGGTCTCATGGCTCCCTTCCTTCCTCTCCTCCCTGCGGGCCAGGAGGGGCATCCGGCCTCTCACACCAGTCGAACTTTGGAGGAGAGCCATCCCCAGACTGGTGGGACCTCGTGCGCCCGGGCCAGGCTGCTGAGGCTCGGGCCGATGGATACAGGTGCTGCGCAGCAGCATCGCGGCCAAGCAGGCCGGGGCTGGGAGCATGTAGGAGGCTCAGAGTCCGCAGCTGCTCCGCCTATCCCTGCCGCCCTCCTGGAGGGAACTAGGGTAAAGGTCACAGGCCACCCACTGTCCCCAGACGGACGCCCCCCTCCGCTCGTGCTCCACCGCCACTCACCCAGGGAGGGTCGCGCAGGGTCTGCTTGCGCCGCGGCTTCTGGCGTCTGTGGCGGCACCTGTTTGTCTCCGCCCCGTGGCGGGAAGGTGGGCGGGACCGAGGGGATGGCCCTGCAACAGTACTCTGGAGCCACTACCAACGGCCCCCACCCCGTGGGACCAGAGCCTTCTGCGTCCCGCCTGCTGGCTCCTGCGGCTTGTTCCCTCCACGAACAATCCAAGGTGGGTAGGGTTTCTCGCGGCGGGACATAAACTAGCCATTGCTCCTCACTTTTCTGCCTTTGGGAATCTGCTACAGGAGTCCTCTGTACAGATGAGGAAACCGAGGCCCAGAGAAGTGGGGTTTGAGTGGGGCTTGAGCCACACTGCTCCCGGTGACCCCCAAGCCTCTGGGGGCTGACCAACAGTAACTTAAGCCCAAGGGGCAGGCGATGCTCTGTTCCTAGATTTCACAGATAGGAAAATAGACTCAGGGAAGGAATATGCTTGTATCAGGGAAGATGTAACAGGAAGCTCGGGCTAGGACTAGAGCCAGAATCACAGGGGTGATCCACACACCGGAAAAATGTGTCAAACAGGTCCAGGAACCCAGCCTCTTTTTGGGTGGCCTCCAGTGAATAATCCGGTTCTTTCTGAACTGCCTGCCACCGTTAAGGAGACCTGGGGGCCCCACCCTCACTCAGCAGGCAGTGCACTCTGAGGCCCAGGAAAACACGACCCAAAGTGTACCCCGAATATGGCAACAGGTCTCCTGTTCCTGTCCCCACCCCACCCCAAGCAGACATCCTTAGATCTTTGGTACAGTTTGAGCTGGTCTTTCTCAGGCCTACAGGAGCAGACTAGGGCGCTGGCCTTTGGTGGTAGAATACACATCTACCCGTGAAGGCAGGTTCAAGGGACCCACAGTGTATCTGCAGCTGTAGAGGGCTGTACAGGCAGTGATCAGGGCTCTATCTCCACGATAAGACAATCTTTACTCAGGTGAGATGCCTCCCTCTCCCCCATAACTTGGGGTACCACTACTGCTTCCCAAGACCTTTCTGTCATGAAGGATACTGAACTAGCTCCCGTTACTGACCCTTCTTCAAGCCTCAGATTTTGTGGTACTTTGGGCTGGAATTTCTCCTATTGGTGTGTCTCCTGCTCATATAGCCAGCAGTGCATGTGAAGAGCTTGGAAGACAGAGGCAGGACACATCCTTCCTTCTGAACCAAGGCCAAATTGGCCTTGGAGACACAGGCTTGGCTCTGAAAAGGTAGCCACCCTAGCGGAGATGTTGGTTCTGCACCTGTCCTCCCAGGTCCAGCAGGGTTCCCTCCATCCCAAATACCCTCCTTGCTGTGGTCCAGCCTGTGACCAGCCTCTCACAGGTGCTCCACATGGTGTCACTATTCTAATTAACCAGTTATCAACCCTTGGAGACTCCCTGCTGCTCACTCAGCCCTCACAAACCAATCATTTCCCAACGGGGACCATATGCTTCAACACCTTATTGCTCTCTCACCAGTTGCCCTGGCTATTTTCAGAAGTGTGTATGTACCTCTGAGCCACCATAGTCCGTCCAATCCTTTAAATGAATTTACCCTTTCTGCCCATCACTTCCTGATTCGATCCTATCTTATTGCCAAGCACGAATGCCAAATGTCACCTCCTCTGAAGAACTCTGTCTTCTCTGTAACAATCCATCTGCACAGGCTGTGAGAATATAACTCACTGTTCACTGCGCACATGAACAGACCCCAGCCTGTGCGTCTGCCCTGACTCTTGTGCTCTGTAGAAAGTCCTTTAGCTTTTGTTGTTTAATATCCTTTAATTTTGGATAGTTCCCCCCCCTATACCCTACATTCTTCAGAGATGGGAAGGGATCCAAGGTTTAGGTAGGGACTTTGCCATTGAGCCATGTCTCTGAGTCCTTTGAGAAACTTAAAGTTTACAGAAAGTTTACAGTTTATTTGCACAGACTGGGGTGGGAAGTGGGGACACAACTCACACAGTCTGTTTAATCCTTTTTGTTTGTTTTTGAAACAGACATATACCCCAGGCAGGCCTAAAACTCCACATCTATTCAAAGATGGCCCTGAACTTCTGGTCCTCCTGCCTCTACCCCCTAAAGCCTAGGATTACACCACTCCTAGATTTATGCCGTGTTGGGGGTCCAACCCAGGACTTTGTGCACGCTAAGCAAGTGATGTACCAATTGGGCTACATCCCCAACAACTCCTAAGTTAATGTCAGAGACCTCTAAAGCCGGGCAGTAGTGGCACACGCCTTTAATCCCATCACTCCGGAGATAGAGGCAAGCAGATCCCTGAGTTCAAGGCCAGCCTAGTGTACAAAGCAAATTCCAGGACAGTCAGGACTACATAGAAAAAAACCTGTCTCGAAAAACCAAAAAAAAAAAAATCCAAAACCTGGCGACATCTCTATTCACTACATCGACGCCTTCTTTTAGGGGCTTCATTGTCAACTGCATTTAAACGCTAGCTGTAAGCCTGGCACCGTGGGAAGGACTTAGGATGTACAAGTGAACAGGGTTCAAAGTTCTGGCCCTTGGCAAACCGACCTTCTAGTAGAGATGAATGAACCGGCAGCTTACTCCGCACCTTAGAATGTGGCTGTGAGGGGCGAGGCGGGTGGGCGGGGCGTCCGAGGTGGTGGGCGGGGCGTCCTCTGGGAGGACAGTGGCTGGCAAGACTCGGGCTCGCCGGGGTGGGGAAGGGCTCCAGTGTGCAGCCCAACTCGCTCCGGATCCCTTTTCGCCCCGCCCATTGGGGGAGGGCTCATTATTTGACACTGTCGTGACAGCAAAATTGGAGCGGTCACACGGGCCTGTGACCTCAGCTCTCGGGAAGTTGCAGCAGAACCGCGAGTTCAAGGCCAGAGTGCACCGCGGAACAAGACCCTTCTGTCACGGTCTGAAAACAAAACTAAAGAGCCGTCGAGATGGCTAATCGGGTAAAGGCGCTCGCGCCCAAGCCTGCTGACCCGAGTTCGATCGCTGGGACCCGTGGGATGGAAGGAGAAAACCGATTCCCGCAAGTTGTCCTCTGACCTTCACACACCGGTGTTGCTTGTCTCCCCCAGACACCCGCAAATAAATATAATAAAAAAAAAAAAACCTGGTTCATTAAAAAACACAAAAGGACAACTCATTCATAACTGGTACCTGCAGCCGTGTCGAGCCTCGGGAAACTCGAGGTGGCGCTCCCGTTCCTTGGGGAGCCTCAAAAGCAGAGACCAGCCTGCTCGCATCTGCCCAGGACGCACAAGAGGGTTTCCGTGGCGCCACAGCGCGGCTTCCTGAACAAAAACCTCCTGGTTCCTCTAACTTCTAACAAACTAACTTCTTGGGCTTTTTAGTCAATGTTGTGATTACTTTGGCAGTCTGGTTCCTTAGTTTTTCTTTTCTTTCTTTTTCTTTTTCCAAGACAGGGATTCTCTGTATGACCCTGGCTGTCCTAAAATGCACTCTTTAGACCAGGCTGACCTGGAACTCACAGAGAACTGCCTGCCTCTTCCTCCCAAGTGCTGGGATTAAAAGTGTGCACCTGACCAAAAAAAAAAAACAAACAAAAACAAAAACAAAACTATAGTTTTCTTTCTTAATTGTTAATTTTTATTTATATGCATGCTATGGCATATGTGTTGAGGTCAAGGACAGATTGAGGGATGTGTAATTATTCTTTGTTTTTTTGTCCCACTAGCCAGCTCCCAAAGATACTTATTAATTATGAAAGCTTGGCCTTAGCTTAGGTTTGTTCCTAACTAATTCTTACAACTTAAATCAACCCATTTTTATTAATCTATGTTCTTTCATATATCACTCATCTGATTCTTCTCTTTCTCTCCCTCCCTCCCTTCTACTTTCTCTCTCTGCCCACCTATACCTCCCACCCTGGCTATTGGCCCGTTCAGCTTTTTATTACACCAATCACAACAATTCACCTTCACAATGTACAAATATCCCACAACAGGGAGGGTCTTTCCTCCCACCACGTGGGTTTCAGGGACTAAACCAAGATCATCACAATTGGCTGCAGGAACCTTTACTCACTGAGCCATCTCACTTGCTCCAACTTTGGTTTCCCTTTTTGTTTTTTGTGTTTGTTGTTTTAAGATGGAGTTTCTCTGTGTAGTCCTAACTGTCCTGGGTCTCCCTCTGTAGACCAGGCTGGCCTTGAACTCAGAGATCTGCCTCCCATGTGCTGTGATTAAAGACGTGTGCCACCTCCCAGCCCAACTTTAGCTTCTTATCATTGAATTCTAGTTGGTTTCATATACTAAAACTATAACCCATGGAGTAGGGTAGGGGCTTAGCATTTGCAAGGCCCTAGGTTCCATTCCCAGGACCACCAACAGATATAGCTGCAATGGTTTTGGTTGTTGCTGCCATAGTACCACCAGGCTGGTTTGTAACCCTGGACTCCAGCCATCTCTCCACTTAGCCTCCTGAGTAGCTGCAGACACATTGCCTAGCTACACTTTTCAGCCGCCCTTAGATTTTTGCACTCTTACACCAGACCTCAGCCTAATAGCAGCTGCCAGGAAGAGCAGGCAGTGGCAAAGCCATGTGTCTGGTGGGATCTCAGCCCTGCATCATTTGACCCATCTCAGAAATTTTACAGGCGATTTCTGTTTTTGGTCAAAGTCTTTAAAATCCCACCTTTTACTTTGATTTGTACCCTAGAGTGCTTTAATTCAGACAGAGAAACCCTTTTAATCAGGTTTGTACCCATTTATAGGCCAATCTCCTTAATCTTTACTGAGTGTTTTTGATGAATCCATAGGTTTTACTATGCTTAGCATCCTGTTGAGTTTTTTTTTTTTGGGGGGGGGGGGTTGGTTTTCTTTGTTTTTCGTTGTTGTTGTTTTTGGATTTTTTTTGTTTTGTTTTTTGTTTTTGTTTGCTTTTTCGAGACAGGGTTTCTCTGTATAGCTTTGGAGGCTGTCCTGGAACTTGCTCTGTAGACCAGGCTGGCCTTGAACTCACAGAGATACGGTGTGTGCCACCAACTCCCGGCTTGGCCTTTAGCTCTTAAAACTCAAATTAACCTGCTTCTGTTAATCTATGGTCTTCCTTGTGCCTTTTACCTTTCCTCAGTATGGCATGTCCATCTTGTTCCCAGTCTGCTGGTGAAATCCCCTGTGAGCCTCAGTTCATCCCTCTGACTTCCTCTCTGTGCCCAGAAGTCGCTCCTATTCTCTCCTGCCTAGCTATTGGTCATTCAGCTTTTTATTAAACCAGTCTTCACAGTGTACAAAAGGATTTTCCCATAGCACATGTACTCATTGTAGATAGGAACCCATAACAGACCAAAGTACAGAAAACACTGAAGTCCAACTTGGTGAACTGTGAGTTTTATTGGGGTCATTTACAGGAATAGGGGTGAGGGGTGACTTACGGGAACAGAAATGAATCCAAGAGGGGCTGGAAAGATAGCTCAGTGGTCAAGAGCACTCACTGCTCTTCCAGAGGACAGGTGTTCAATTCCCAGGACCCACATGACCGCTCACACCTGTCTGTAACTCCAGTTCCAGGGGATCGGATACCTTCACACCAATGTACATGAAGCTAAATAAAATTTTTAAAAATTACTCCAAGACGGCCATATCACCAAAGCATAGCCCAGCCTGGGTGACAGCTCACAATGTTGGGGACCTGGAGCATGCTGCATGGCCTGCAGGCAGCTCAGCAGGTTGAAGAAGAATACACTTGTGTGTAGTTCACTTGGTCTAAACTTCCAGGCAGCTGGTCTGGTCTCAGTCTCCTCTGCAGCTTGTCTTGTCTGGGGCTTCTCTTTGCAGCTCGGCTCAGCTCCATTGAGAGGGACTCAGGTTTTATGGCTTACTTTGGCAGGGAGATGGCCTAATGAATCTGGTCAGTTTCAGAGACTTCCTGAGTATGTGTAGACTACACCCCAGCCACTGCCCCTTCCTTCTCCATTTAAGTTACCCAGGGAAGTCATTCTGTAACCCGGCTTTTCATTCTCCTGCCTCAACCTCCTTAGTTGTTTGTTTAGAGACAGGATCTCACTATGTAGCTCTGGTCCTCCTGGAACTCACTATGTAGGCCTAGAACCCTCAGAGATTCTCTTGCCTCTGTGGTACCTGGCTCCTCAGCCTCTTTAATAGATAGAATTACAGGCCGGTGTCACCAAACTTGGCTTGCACAAAGGTTTAAATCAGCCTGTGAGGCTTGGGCGAGAACTCAGTGACAGGGCACTTACTTAGCATTTATGAGGTCATTTTTTTTTTTTTTTTTTTTTTTTTTTTTTTTTAAACTTTTTGCTTTAAAAGAAATAGAAACATTTGCTTAGGTGGTATAGAAACAGAGATCCGAGGAAAGCAAGACACCATCTGTGCAGATACCTGAAGCAGAGGAGACACAGGAAGAGAAACAAATGTGTGCAAAGACCCTGAAGACCTGAAGTAGGAGCTGCCTGGATGCTTGGCTCATGTAAGCAACAGAGAGGAGTTGGGGTAGCTGGGGTCCAATTCGAGTGAAGGACCTGAAAGAGATGTAGCCAAAGAGATGAGCCCAGATTCAAGGTCTTGCAGAACTGACTGGCTTGGGTTTTATTTTAGTTTTTCTTTCTTTTCTTGAAACAGGGTCTCACTTTGGACCGTAGTCTGGCCTTAAACTAATTCTCCTACCTTAGCTTCCTCAATGCCAGGGTTACCAGCATGAGCCTCCGAGACTGTCTGGCTTCATATTTCCACTGCTCTCTAACAAATTCAGTAGCTGGAGACAGCCGTTTTGCTCTCTGCCAAAATTCTGTGGGTTTTCAGGCTTTGGTTGGATGGTCCTTGTAATCTCGTGGTATCGTGTGTGTGAGGGCTGGGATATCAAAGATGACTCACTCACATGACACTGCCCAGTGCAGTAGCTGGTACCAGCTGGGAGGCAGGAGTTTGGACTGTCAACTGGGGCATCTACACGAGGCCTTTCCATGTGACTAGACTTCTTAGCATGGGGACTGGGGACAGAGAGAGAGCTGGAAGCTTCTTACAGGAGTGGTTCAAGAAGGGCAGGAAGGAAACTTGCCCCTCCTACAAATGCAAGTTTAGAGTTGACACAGATGACTTCGGCCATATTGTGCTAGCTGAAGCATTTGTGGAGCCAAATCAGGGTCACATGAAAAGGGCAAAGCTCTCCCCATGCAAAGGGAGAGGCACAAAGGCATTCCTCAGTCCTGCACAAACTTTTCTGTTTAGCCTGAGTAGATGAGATGACATCAGAGGGCTGGCTTTGGGCATGGGCATTAGGATCTGATGTGTGCTTTTGTGCATGGTATAAATTAAACTGCAATTTGTTTTTGTTGTTTCTTGAGACAGGTTTTCTCTGTAGCTTTGGAACTTGTCCTGGAACTCACTTTGTAGCCCAGGCTGGCCTTGAACTCACAGAGATCCACCTGCCTTTGTCTCCCAAGTGCTGGGATTAAAGGTGCATGCCACATACTACCTGGCATTTAAGCTGCATTTTTGTTTTGTTTTTTTTTTCGAGACAGGTTTTTTTCTGTGTAGCTTTGTAGCCTATCCTGGTACTCGCTCTGTAGACCAGGCTGGCCTCAAACACACAGAGATCCGCCTCTGCCTCCCTAGTGCTGGGATTAAAGGCATGCGCCACCAACGCCCGGCACCTTCCACCTTGTTCAAGAGAGGTTTTTCTAGGTTTTTTGCCACTGCTGGCACCAGACTAACCGGCCCATGAGCACCCAGGGATTCTCCTGTTCCCACGTCTCTCCTCCTGGTAGGACTACCTGGATGTCAGATGCTTTCCTGCCCCTCCCCCAGCTTACCATGGGTTCTAGGGATCTGAACTCGGGTCCTCATGCTTGTGTGACAAGTGTTTTAGCCACTGAGTCATCTCTCCAACTTCTGCTTTCTGGATTGTTTTGAGATCTTACCCAGGCTGCTCTCCAACTTGGTATGTTGTGAACTGAAGCTGGCCTTGAACTCCTGATTCTCCTGCCTCCACCTCTCATGTGCTGGGATTACAGGCCTGGGTGGCCACATCTCACTCCTCTCAGCCATCTTCACCATATCTCAATCATCATAACCATTTTCAAGTTCATATATTATAGGTTATTGAACTCATGGGAATTTCATTAACTAGGTGGGAGTTAGAGACAGGAGATTCAAGAGTTCTAGGTCACCCTTGTTTCAAGAGCAGATTGGGCTGAGTTTCACAAAACCTAAAAAACAGCCAAACAAAATCCTTCAACCATAAGTGATATCCATCACCACTGCTGTGACTGATTGTTCCAATTCTTCATGTTAAAGGATTTACTTTTAATTTTTGAAAGTTTTTATTT